TGTACAAACTTTAGAATACCAAATATTTAGTTAAAAAAAGGGTTCCTATAAAAAGTTACCAATATTTTAAAAATGGAGAATATTAATAATATGACAAGCGTGGAAGGTAAGATGCTTGTATTTATTCCTATGTGACAAGTGCTATTTACTGTTTTTGAGAAGGGGAGAATATAGGAATACTGCACTCCTTATTCCATTATTTACTTATTTATTTTACTTTTGAAGAAGTGAAAATGATTTCAGGCTAATGAAGTTGGAAAAGGAATCACTCATTAGTAAAGATCTTGAAAGTATTTCAATGTGTATTTGAGCCTTTACATGATTTCACATAGTAGAACTCTTTTGGCTTCTTCCCAGAAGAGTGTGCCCATCAACTTTGAAGAAGATATATCTTTGGGTATCTGTGCATGCGATACACATATGACCATATCATGGATTTGCTTTTGAAATTTGGTGCATACTATACTTCTTTTTCTCATGGAAAACATAACCCATTTTTATTGTAGATAATGACAAATCAGGAAATAATAAAGAAAAATAAATGCCACTTATAAAAAACAAAGACATTGAAATGGGTTTGCACTTGCATCTGCCTTCTGTAAAACCGGGAAAAATAAGGGTCCCCCTTGGCAATCTTTACTCATGAGGATGAGGATGATTTCTTTTCACCTGTCATGTGAGCTGAGAGGATGAGGAATGTGACAGAATTCATCCTATTGGGCCTGACAGAGAATAGAGAACTTGAAAAATTTTCATTTGCTGCGTTTTTAATTGTCTATTTGGTCACCCTGGCGGGGAACCTACTCATCATGATCACCATCAGCACCAACAGGGCGTTAGGGTCCCCCATGTACTTCTTCTTGTCTTACTTATCCCTGATCGATGGATGCTGTTCTTCATCTATGACCCCCAAAATGCTAGCTGACACTCTTGCTGTGAGAAAAACCATCTCTTTTGCGGGGTGTATGACTCAAGTCTTTGCTGAGCATCTTTTTGGTGCTGCTGAGATCATCCTGCTGACCGTGATGGCCTATGACCGCTATGTGGCCATCTGCAAACCCCTGCACTACACGACCATCATGAGCCACAGGCTGTGTATTCTCCTGGTGGGAGTGGCCTGGGCCGGAGGCTTTGTCCATGCAACCATTCAGATCCTCTTCACAGTCTGGCTGCCCTTCTGCGGCCCCAATATCATAGACCACTTCATGTGTGACTTGAACCCTTTGTTGAAGCTTGTCTGCATGGACACTCATACCCTTGGTCTCT